CGGCGCCGGTGCCGGCCCCAGGAGTGTGGCTCAGGTGGCAGCGCCGGCCCCGGGCCCATGGCACAAGGCACTCGGGCGGCCCCAGCCCCGGCCCTAGGGCACACGCCGGCGCCGGGTGCAAGGGCATCCCAATCCCCTGGCGTGCCCCCAGACACGCGGCCCCGCCCCCGGGTGCCCAGTGCGTGAGTGGTCCCCACCTCCTGGGCGCCCGGCGCATGAGTTGCCCCACCTCCCGGGCGCCCGGGAGCCTCTAAAGGTTGGGGACCACTGATCTAGTTGCTGGACTACAGTTCCAGCTTCTGTTCCAGGAATGTCCAGAAGGCCATGAAAACTGAAGCAATCAAACCTTTTTCAGTCTCTCATATTAGGGCAGGGGTGGCCAATCTGTGACTCTGGAGCCACCTGTGACTCTTCTGAAGTTAATATGTAGCTCCTTGCTCAGGCACCGACTCCAGGGCTGCAGCTACAGGTGCCAACTTTCTAGTGCTCAACTCCTGGCTCCATCTCCTCCTTCAAGCATATTGCACCTTCGTTCATTCTCTCCCCCACAAAACTTCCTGAGTGCCATGAAAGAGTTGATTGCAGTGGGCAGGAGGCATGGGGAAGAAAGAGGAGGCACTGATTGGTGGGGTTGCTGGTGGGCAAATGATGCTGGAGATGAGAAAGGAGGCACCTGATGGGGACTGCTCACAAATTACTGTAGCTCTTTGGCAATGTACATTGGTAAACTGTGGCTCCTTCTCAGGCTTAGGTTGGCCACACCTGTATTAGGGCATGGGAGTGTGGATACATGAAAGCAAGTGTGTATGGACACTTGGCAAGTTCATAATGGGAAGGCACCAAAAAATAGCCTAAGGAATTTTATAGTGAGGCAGAGTAGCCTCTCACTGAGCTAGACAGGGAGGAATCTCTTGGAATCCTTGTAGGACAGAGCCAGGCCAGACTCACCTTTCCCACTGGATGTCAAGGGGCAGGACAGGAAGTATAAAAGGCAAAGGTGCCAACCCAGCTGAGTCTGAGTCAGGGAAGGGAAAGGAATGGACATGTCCAGGGCATTGCAAAGTCCTGGAGCTGAACCCGCACTAAGCCATGCCTTGCCCCTGGAGGAGACTGACCCAGATGAAGAGCCAGTGGATCTGTTGCTTGCTGCATATCCTGAGCAAACAGAGGATACCTGTGGAATGCAGGTATCCTGTGAGGGGATCGTAGGATGTGGTCCAAGGAAACGACTTTTTTACCGTAATTTGATTTATTTGATTCCATTCCAATGCCAAGACTAACTTGTTGACTTAACTTAATGTGATATCTGTATTGTTCTATTCTAGTGGTATTACTAGTGGCAGCTTAGCATTGGTGATATGTTTTTTTGGTTTTGTTTTTGTTTGGAAATTTTAATAGAAGGTATAAAACGAATACTGACTCAATTCTTTTAATAAGGTCCATAATGTTAGTATTTCTAAAATATAACTTGTTTGCCGTGAATATATAGGATGTTGATATTTGTATCTTCTCAATTAGCAAACATAAGCAGTAAAAAAATAGATACAAATTGCTCAAGTTGTGAAGTAGATTGTGCACAATATCACACAAATAAATGTGATTAATTAAATGCACCTCTAAAAACTCACAAAATAATTCATTTTGCATGCCCATAGGACCTGTTCCTTCTTGGCATTGTATTTAACTGTGCTGTATACATTTAAAAATATTGTAGTTGGTCAAACCGGAATCTGGTTTTGGACAGCAGAAACACAGCAGGATGTATGTCTACACAGCTAATGAATTTCCGATTATTATCATCAAAAGGTCAATAAATCCTGGAGCAGTTTATGAGACACAGATAAAAAATATATATAAAATTGTGCCTGATACCAAAGAGATAAATGGTGTATTCTTGAAGGATTTCTGAGGAGGTAATCTAGTTTTACATCAATGAGATCAGAATCTAGTCCACTGAATTTCACATATTCTAGGCCTAAGACAGTAAAGTGATACAAACTAAGTAAGTTGAGTATTACTACTCTAGGGCCTTTGATGGGCCCTGAAGGCAACAGCTGAAATATTATTGTTTATATTTTTTGCCTACAGTCTAGTAAATGCTGTATTGCCATCCTAAAGAATACTGCATTACTTTTAAAAGGAGATCAAGAATTTTATACTCAGGAAGTTTGTACTTTGACTAGTCCCACTCAGGACTCTACTGGATACCTTGTCGGTCAAATATAAGATTTGATTAAGTGTCACAGTTGTCACCTACTTACCTTTGATTTGCCCTTACTGTAACAGGCTCTTTTAGTAGCTTCATCACACTGCCACTCCACTGCCTGAAATACATACCAATAAAAAATATTTATAGAAAAAAGTAAATAAAATACAAAACACATAGGTGTGTCAGATAGAAACAGCTAATAGTCCATACTCATTGAGCATAATTCTGTCACATTAACTGTTGATATCAATGAGAATCCATTTATAATATTGTTATAATCTTTTTTCCTTGGAAACACATTACATTTTTATTGATGGCTGCTTACAGACATAGCTAAAGTGAGGTTCGTATTTTCAATCCAGACCTAGTACACACTTACCTACATCAGAAAAATCACAATCAGCACTAATTAGCATGATTCCTAGGAGTCCTAGCAAAGCTAAGTGACTGAATAAGTATGGAGAGGAAAAGATGTTCTTTCCCTTGATCTCTTTAGGGAGTTAAATGGCCTGCATTGCCTTAGCATGTGAGGTCACTTCTGTGAAGAGACATAATCACCAAGCTGTGGGAAAGTGTTCACTATTGCTGTTCTTCCTCCTACCAATATAAATTGAAAAGGGCATCAGTCCAGCTCTAATCACAAACACTAAAACTTACATTTTTGTGTGGAAGAAAAAAATGTACAGAACAGCAGCACTAAAATTGTCGACTGTGGAATGGAGGTGATTTAGCTTCATTTCTGTGCTGTTTTGTTGCTTCAACAGATTTCTACCACAGCTGTAACAATATTTTTCCATGCTGTAGTTTCAGATTATAAATTAAACCATATTATTGCCTAATCTAATATTAAAAAATATGATTAAGAAGAGTATTCTTTTATGAAGTAGTTTGTATACTTCAGTGTGTTTATATTCACACACACACGCACACCGTATAATTAAGAGTTCCTTGGATATCAGATGGTATCTTTCATATCTCGGGTGCAGATTCCTATCTGTTATGAATGACTACATTTTCTTTTTATTAGAAAGAACTATGACTTTTTAACTAACTGTTACAGCTTAACAATTTAAATCATAATTTGCCCGATTTTCATTTTAAGTAGCCAAAGCTAATTCATGCTGACTTAATGTAGCTAATTTTTTGTAGCTGACCTTTCATGGAGATCTATTAATAGTGAGAAGATTCTATAATTAGTAAAATAATAGACTGAAAGCTTATTTAAATGAGGGAAAGAAACACCTTCAGAGAATACTACCCAGTGCTCTTTGTCTTGCGTTTTTCAACTAGCCCAAGAATGAGATTTTTATTTCCAGAAAAATAACTTTATAATCAGTGCCCAAGCTTCCCCAAATTTCTTCCCATTTAAACAATTTCTACTGCAGATTAGTTTCTACATCAGTGAAGATTCACGGAAACTTCAAAAACAGTCTGGAAGAATCCTTCAGTGAATAACCTAAGCATTTGTAACAAAACTATATCTAGCAGCCTGAAACACCCTCATATGCAATTGTATAAAATGGGAACAAAGTCTTAGCTCTTTTGTACAAAAAGCAGTTTGATCCCAAAAATGGTAAGTAAACCATAGAAGACTACTCCTGGCATAAAAATGCCTCCCTGCTTTCTAGAGTATTATAATTGATTGTTTTAGAATGAAGACTAAAGCAACTATTAGCAGGACACAATATGTCTTGGTGTTTTATAGCATTATGTGCCAGTGTCTGATTTTGGAAATTTTAACCCATAAAAGCATTGAAGCTTAAATCCTACGATGGTTCTAATGTAACAAGAGTTACTAGTAGGTCATCAGGGTAGGAAGATTTCATGAGAAATGTGATTTTAAATTAAGGATTTAAGGAGAGTGCTTGCCATATGTGAACTTAGTAGGCTATACCAATCATGGGGAGTGGAGAGAAAGAAGACAAGTTAAGCATGTAGCATATCCTACAGAATGAGTAAACCCTTTATGATTAACAATGCGTTCCACCTTGTATTTTACACTCCCGTTGGTTTCCTTCTCAGCACCTAAGCAAGATCTCTTTGTAGCTTGCAAGCTTATCCCATACACCAACAAAAGTTGGTCTAATAAAAAAGATATTACTTCACCAATAGAGTATCTCTCATACCCTAGGGTTGATCACAGCTACAACAACATCACATGCATTGTATCTCACAACACTTATTTTCCATATGAAGAAATTGAGACAGATGTAAAGAGACTTGCCTAGTGTTGGACTCTGGTGTAATAGGGGCAGAAAAAAGGATTAGAATTCAAGTCCTCTGTTTCCTAGGTAATGTAATACATTAGACCACAATAACCCCAGAATACAATGCTTATGGCAAGTTTTTTTCAGAAGCAGCTTTGTATTGGGTGCCCATCTTTAACATCCAATATGTGATTTGACAAAGGTACTTCACTTCTCACAGATGAGCTTACTACTGCTACAATTCCACTACTTGTAATAGAGTGCCAATGGTATTTATCACAGGTGAAAATGTACTCTACAGATTTAAAATACCTGCTGCCAGAGACCAAAACAATATTATTTTCCCCAATTATAAAGATCTGGAATCCTATATTGAAAAAGATTAAGTGGATTGCCTTGTAGTTTATTTTCTAATCTATTGGAATGGGCATTGGCTTGGAGAGTCCAAATCAGTGAATTCTATTTTTCTCTCATTTTAACACTGAGTTGCTGTGTGATCTTAGTTCATTTCACTCAGCCTAGGTTTTTTCAGGAGATAAAAGTCAAAGGCCTAAGAGAGTACAGACTCTAAATCCAGTGGCACAGTTTTTTCAGCCTTTCACCAGAGTATGTAATGGAACTCTAAGTAGGCAAGTCTGGAAGCCTATTAACCACACTGGTGGTGCAGTTGAAAAGCAACTTGTGAAAAAATGTTGCTGGCTGGGATTAGCCAGCAGCTGTTCAATGTATGTACCATTACTACCATACAAATGGCTATGACCTAACTAGTCATTAACTAATCTTTAGCACTAGTCCTAACCATTAAACTAAGTGTAAGCACTAATCTTACGTAAACTGATGTGGCACAAATACACTGGAATGTTTGGCTACGTCTAGACTACATCCCTCTGTCGGCAGAGGGATGTAAATGAAGCACTTGGAAAGTGCAAATGAAGCTGGGATTTAAATATCCCGCACTTCGTTTTCATAATCACGTAATGGCTCTCTTTCGAAAAAGTGCTATTTCGAAATTGAAACCGCAGTCTAGATTCAGTTCTTTTGAAAATGGAGTGCCGACCGAGGGATGAAGTCTAGCCGTAGCCTAAAACCCAGTTGCAAGTTCAGTAAAACTCCGATGGTCCGGCATCTGATGGTCCGGCACTCCTGATGGTCCGGCACCATCAAGAACCCGGAAGTACTCCAGGCAGCTGGACCATTGGAGCTGCTCTGTCCCCAGCTTCCCCGATTCAGCCGCTGCTAAAACTGACCAGCGGCTGACTCCAGGAAGCCCGAGGCAGAGTTGCTCTGCCTCGGGCTTCCTGGAGTCAGCCGCTGATCAGTTTCAGCAGCAGCTGACTTGGGGACACCTGGGGTAGAGCAGCTGGGGGACTGCCGGGTTGGTCCAGTAGCGCCGCTCCTCGGCGCTGTGGGACCAACCTGGCAGCCCGCCAGCTGCTCTGCCTCTGGCGTCCTGATTCAGCCGCTGCTGAAACTGACCAGCGGCTGACTCCAGGAAGCCCGAGGCAGAGTTGCTCTGCCTCGGGCTTCCTGGAGTCAGCCGCTGATCAGTTTCAGCAGCAGCTGACTTGGGGACACCTGGGGTAGAGCAGCTGGGGGACTGCCGGGTTGGTCCAGTAGCGCCGCTCCTCGGCGCTGTGGGACCAACCTGGCAGCCCGCCAGCTGCTCTGCCTCTGGCGTCCTGATTCAGCCGCTGCTGAAACTGACCAGCGGCTGACTTGGGGACACCTAGGGCAGAGCAGCTGGGGTTCTGCCGGGTTGGTTCAGTAGCGCTGAGGAGTGGCCCCTCCTCATAGCCCCTCCTTCCGATAGTCCGGCAAATCTAATAATCCGGCACCCCCTGGGTCCTAAAGGTGCCGGATTATCGGAAGTATACTGTATTCAAAAGTGATGCTTCATCTTCGAATTGGGTGATGAGAGGGGACCACAACATTAATTTGGCTGGATATTTTCAATCTGTGTCAGCAGCATGAGCTGCCATGTAATTAGCCCACAACAATTTTTATAAAAATGTAACCCACTCAGCATATTGCTTCCTGAAAGCTAAAGACACCTAGAAAGAAGACAACTGTGGTCCTGCAACAGCCGCTTAGGAACACTCCTGGTGATCCAAAGTACTCATATTAGATAGTGATAGAGATGTAGCCGTGTTAGTCTGGTCCTGTATTTTGTTTCATATTAGATAGGCACCTTTGTCTCTTTTTTTCTATAACTTTGGGTTGCTCATACTAGAGTTCTGTACTTAAATCTGCTCCACCTGGGTTTACAGTGTCATCTTTGCTATCGAGGTAAAAGCTGTTAGCTAAGTAAAGAACTGGTGATGATTAATAGATTTTGAGCACCCTTTAAACATCAAAGAGCTATTAAGGATAATGACATACTTTACCACAATAAAATATTTCAACTATCTGACTAAAGATTGAGTGGGCAATAGAATCATGTTAAAAAGTTAAACAGTGATATCTTTAGCAAGCAAATTAGATGTAAAAGCTGGTTCGGTCCCAGGGAAACTGAAAGGGATGCCAAATGCTATTTGATTTGTTCAGATACCTTTGCAGAAGGCAAATAGTAAAAATCTGAAAAGTGTGAAGAATGCTTAGTAATCCCTTCCATTTATTGAATAAACAGTAATCAAGAAGGATAAAAGTCCTTGCTATGATCACTGGAAAGAATGTGTTTGTGTGTGTGCGCGCTAGTCCTAACATGAATTTTCCAGAAATGCTACAAATTGCAATTGGGAGGGGGGGAAATCAAGCTATAGACAGCCCATTGCACTATAGCCACAGTGTGCAATCATGACCTTAATCAATAAGAAAGCGTCAGCCATGTGTTCAGGATCTTAAAAGGCCATGGAAAGACTGGTTGGTGAGCGTTTCTATTATTAGAGCAAAAAAACACATTGCTTCCATT